CAGGAATGGGGTTGACCCCACGTGGGAACAGTGACGGGCAAGCATTTGCATCTCGGCATCGATTTCCGATCGTACGACATGGAGTCCACTCTCAGCCCCGTTATCAACGCCCCTCCCGGCGTTCCCGGAGTCGCCGGAGTTGCCGGCGCTGAATATCCCGCCGCCGCCTCCTCCGCCGGAGCATCCGGAGGAGCCATCTCACACTATCTCTTTTTTTTTTCTTTTTGTATGGATAAAAAAAGGGAAAATGACCCTAAATTCTACTCTTTTTTTTGTGGGTTTTTAGTTTTTGGGGGATTGAAATTGGGAAGGAACGAGATTTACATGATCTGAAGTTTTTATAAAGATGGGTTTACACAGTCGTCTTAGGTTTAGCCAGGACCAGAGGATATGAAAACGAGACTAAGAAATGAAACTACGCATGGATACCGATCTGATTTTTTTTTTTGGTGTGTGTGTATGGATGAGAAGCGGAGACTCTGAAGAGGGACTAAGTTACATGCTTGCTAGGGTTTTTATAAAGTTGGATCTACGTGAGAAGAAGAAGAAGAAGAGAGAAGAGAGCCAGGCTCAAAGACTGATCACCAAAAGCAACCTATATGCAAGAAGCAAAAGACAAAACACATGAGAAGGACCAACGGACTTAGATTCTGAAACTGATTACATGAACTCAACTAACAAGAGAGACAACACAAAAGAACACAGAGAGAGAGAGAGATGGAAGCTTTGGGTTCAGAAACCTATATCTATATATATATATATAGATATATAAGAAACAGAGAGGGAGAGAGAGGGAGAGAGAGGTGCAGTGAATCAAAAAACTGTTAAAAGAACGATAAAAAAAAGTCAACGCCACCCTCTCCATCATCTTTTGCTAACTCCGTCCTTGCTACCGTCACAGCTCTTCCCCTCCCTCACAGCCATCTCTCTCCTACGGGTATCATAACCCATTTTCATGTATCATCGTCATCATCATCATCATCAGCATCATCGTCATCATCATCGTTATTCATACTATTTATATACACATGCATGATATCATATAAGAGTTTATAAAATTCAGAGTTTTATCTAGAAACAAATGCACAAACATCCAATATTCTTACACATCTATAACCTGCAGATACTATTTTATATATAAAAAAGTAAATTTCATATATCTATTTTTTTTAGATTTTTAATATGTTGTAATATAAAACAAAATTAATAAAAATATATATAAAAAAATAGTTGCCCATAAAAATTTTCAACCCTAATATTTTAAAAGGATTTGTATCTATTAATACAGTTTTTTCTTATTAATTTCGGATTTGTTTCTAAAAAAATCAGGATTTATTTCATAAAAAGGTTAGTATTTAATGAAAGAATAAATACTGATCGTTTAATTGCGATATAAAATGTCATTTTTTTTTACTCTGTTTGACGCTTAGAAAAATCTCGAATGAGCCTTGACAATAACTAAGCTCGTTCGATTGGCAAGCGGTTCCACCACCCTCCCAATAATTCAAATTTAAAAAACAAAAAACAAAAAGAAAAATAGAATATTAGAAAAAAAAAATCACAATAATTCTCGGACACTATTTTTGGAACATCTAATTTGCCGAAAAATAATCCAAATCAGCAAAAGTCCTATGAACATATACAAAATCGGGTTGGTATGATTTTAATTTTTATCTGAATAATCGATTTTCAATTTAGCATTTCAACTATTAAGTAAAAGAATCAAAACATGAAAATGAGATATTATTATAAGCAAAAAGTCAGAAGAGAACGAGAATAATCATGTGGTGTGGATATAATAAAATAAGAGGGGCTTAGGTCCAACATGCTGCCAACCCTCTTGATCAAATATCTTTTATGATTTTATTAATTATTAGCTTATTAAATAGAACAGAGGTGTCCTTCGTAATCAAGATAAAGGAAAATTATGTACTTTAATTTAATTGAGTTGAAGATTTTTATTTAATTAATTAATTAATACCCTTGACGTCTTTCCTCGTAGCTTCTTTAGTTTTCTAAAAAATGAGACATTATTTCTTTTAATTAGTTTTTGGATGATATATTATATATATATATATATATAATTGTGAATGATTATTGAGAAATGTGGAGGAGGAGTGAGGTGCACCACAGGTTCAGGTTGAGAGTATTTTAGTGAAAGTGACTATTGCCGCTTTGCATAAAGCAAAGCAAACCCTAAGTTTGTGGATCCAACTAAAGTTGGGATTTTGTATGAATTTGATTAACAAAGTAATTAATAGCAATGATTATGTGGGCAATTGCAGACATAATTAGGGATAATCACTTGATTAGCCACATATCATTTTATACTCTCTCCGTTCCACAATACTTATATTTTAATTTTTTTTCACATTTTAAAAAAAAAAAACAGTAAAAAGTCATATATACCTTTTAATAATACAAAGATTATGTTATCATTAATACTCTATTGGAATTTATTAGTTTTTGTTTTTGATAAAATTGAAAATTATTTTAAAAATTTGCGTAGAAAATTTAAAATGACAACTATTTACTATTTACTAACACAAAAAATTGTCTAAAGCGTCAAATATTATGAAATAGAGGGAGTATTTGTTTTCCTCCATTACCTCATATCGATTAGTGTATGCTTCTTCTCCTTCATTGCGAATTTGCAAGCAAACGCCAAAAAAGAAAAAGCAAAAGGGAACTTTCACATCTTCCCACAAAATTTATATATTATTATGTTTGTTATTTGGTTTGAATTTTTTTTATTGTATTAAACAATAAATAAAAATTACCATATGTAATAATAATAATAATAATAATAATAATAATAATAATAATAATAATAAACAATAATAATTTGACTCGAGTGCGCTTTACTTTATTTGCGCGAGGGTTTTAATCATGAAATCGAAACCACAAAAACTCAGCGACATCTTAAAAACCCTAAAGCCGAAAAGGAATTCTATTTGCTTCGGCAAATCTCATAAAGAGCAAAACCGAACAAAGACATACAAAAAAGACTGACTTCCCCATAACTAAAACTATGCACAAAGTCACTTCGGACATAATTTGATAATGGTGACTCTGCCTCTTTTTGTGTGCGCCCTCCAAAATGGGCATTCCACCTCAAGTCACCGTTCGTTCACTGTCTTTGTTCATATATACCACAAAGATCCCCAATTCAAACCATTCAAATGCTCATAATGCCCCTTCTTATTCGAAATCGATGGATCATAAAAAAGTTTTTAAAAAATCTAGAAATGCAAATTTCTGTTTTTACTATCGAATATATCGTTGAGATCATTATAACAATTAAAAAAAATACACGATTAGATGATTTAACTGGTAAAAGGTAAGACAACAAAAAAATTTAATCAGGGTTCGAATCTCTATTTGGAGAAGGACATTCGCCTGAATTTTTCTGATTTTCTAAAAAATATAATTGAAACAAAGATTCGGTGAACTTCGTAATTAGAAAAAAAACAATTGAAAAGGAATACATGGGCATGCAATGTTCTAGCAATCAAGTGGGAATTTTGTCCTAAATGTATACGTTATATTCTCTTTCTTTTTGTTTTTTCACAAATGAACAGAGGATATACAAGTATTCGTCTGCATACGCAGAGTATATACAATCAAATATACAGCTTTCACTCAGCCTTTAAAACACTTCCTAACATGTAGAAATCTCAATGTACGTACGTCCAAATCTTTGTCCTCGCTCGGACAAAACCTGACTGCAACTCACAATGATCTACCATTTGTTCTTTTGCTGGAACGTGTGTGTGGATGTATATATGCAACACAATCTCAATGGCATCAATCCATTGGTTATATATCCTTTACCTCCTTACCACAACCGATGAACGATAGAGATGGAATCTTTTGGACAAGATCTTTCACCACTTGTGAAGCCGATGGTCTCAGAGAAGGCGGACTGCAGAGGCATAAGGCAGCCGCGCTGAGCATTGCCTTAGCCTCTTCAATGTCGAGACTGTGATCTCTGGACAACCTCGGATCCAAGAACTCTCTCACCTTGTCTTCTCCGATTCCCGAACCCAAATCAAGAATCTCGTGAATCAACGGCCCGGCCTTATTCACCAACATAACGCCTTTCTCGGCACATAACGCTTCTTTCCCCGATACCAACTCGAGAACCACGACCCCAAACCCATACATGTCCATTTTCTTGGAGGCAATCCCTGTTCTCAAGTAATGAGGGTCTGTATACCCGGGAGAACCAATCATCATCACTTGTCTAGACCTCAGTGACATGGTAGGAGGCTGCACCATCGAGGAAAACCCGACTTTGGCTGACCCGAAATCGCAGAGCTTGCAGTTGAAGTGTTTGTCTAGTAAGATGTTCGAGGACTTGATATCGCCATGCACGATCTGCGGGCTGCATTCTTCGTGCATGTGTTCTATGGCTCGAGCTAGTTGATAGGCTACGGCAGTCCGGTTTCTCCATGGCAGCACTTGTTTACCACTGCAGTGGAGCTTTTCTCGGAGATTTCCCTGAGGAATGTATTCGAGAAGCAGAGCGCCGTTTTCTTCTGGAAGATGACAAGGAAGAAGATCAGTTCAGTAGCAGAACCAGTTAACAGAGAGGAGAGAAGAACACATCGAAAGACGAGCAAATGAGACAGACTGATAATACTAACAGACAATTCAAGAAAAGGCCGAGAATTAACATACCGGAATCGTCAAAGTAACCGAGGAGCTTGACAATGTTTGGATGATGAAGACGAAGCAAGACGTCAAGCTCAGACCTGAAGACTTGGTAGAGGCGATGGCTTCCGACATGAACCTTGACGGCCGCCTTGTCGGAACCAGGCAGACGAGCCATGTAAACGCTGCTGTATCCACCCGAGCCGATCAGCCGAGCAAAATTCGATGTCAGAGTCTCGATTTCTTCCAAACTGTAACTCCTCACACCCGAACCAACACATCCATGGTCCTTGACTCTGGTCGTCTTCTTGGCCGAGCCATCGAACCGGACACATCCCAAGAACCAAGCCATGGAATTGAAAAGAGAACAGAGCAGAGCGAAGGGTTTTGCTTACGTGGGTTCAATGGCGAAGAAGGGGTTTTCCAGGGGGTTTAAAAAGGAGATGAAGTGGTTCGGTTTCTGGGAAACCAGAGAGCATGTAACTGCAGACAAAGAAACGACAATGAGATCTTAGGTTTTGGTTGCAATGGAGATTTCTGTGCATGAATCGTAATGAAGGATCGAAGAAGAAAACCAGATAATGGATTCGGGAAGGTAGGGTTTGACTGCTTCTTCATTTCGATGAAGCCTCCTTCCAGGTAGGAGCTGCTTGCTTCACTTACGACGTCTTAGCCACTACTCCATGGCTTTCTTTTCCTTTTTTTTTTGGGTGATTCTCCAACACATTTGTTTAATTTTAACTAGAAATAGAACCCGGTATTTGTTATGAATCTTTTTCATTTATTCAAGATTTTCCAAAATATAACTATATGTTATTTACATTTTTCTTAAATAAAGACATTGTTGTCGTAATTTGACTTGTGTTTCTGCAATTATTTTACATAATTATTAAAGTTGGAATGAGAAAAGACAAGGCACCAAACTGTTTCTGACCCAACAGACGCCAACACGGGTTATTGTATATTATTATTATGTGATCTTTGATTCGAATTCATGCCCCTCGACACCTTTGGCACGAACCCTCGGACCGGCAATCATTGTGCCTAAGGCCAAACACGAATTAAAAAAAAAATTGTAACAAAAATAAGGTGGGTTAGACAAATCACCTCTCTCTTTTTTTTTAATTGTTTCTCCAAAACGTGCAATATTCGCATATTGTCTTTTGAATTTAAATTATATATGTATAAAGAAATTATAAAGAAGGGGGCGAACCATTCTTCTCTTTGCCCCCAAGGAAACCACCCACCGACAAGTAAGCTCCCATTATATATGATCCAAAACATAACTTGCTAGTTATATATATATATATATATATATATATATATATATATATGATTTGTAGTTCTCTGTCTGCTTAAATGTATTTTTATCTCAGTTTGAATGATGGATCTACATTTTCATCTGCATGCATGTGTGCGCATTATAAAAAGTGCGTGAACAAAGAAGTATTATACATTTTCAATTCAAAATTGCAAGACCCAAATAAAAGTATATTGTGGGTCATCTGTATTTTGTCATGGTTGGGCCCTTCCGTACTGTTTAACGTAATGGGCTAAGTGAACGTTATATCACTGAACCACTCACCGTTGGGCCTTAATTTTATGGGCCTGAATAAATGGGCTTATTGATGGGATCTGGGCCCATTAGAGGTTTTTTTTTTTAGCTTTTAAAAGCGACGAAAGAGAAACGTCGCCCCCACTAGTTTTTTTGAAAATCAAATCATTCGCCGAAGCGACGGATAGAGGACGACACGAAGCGGTAGTGCTCACGACTTACTCCAATGGCGGCGATTTCCACCTTCATTGCCCTAATTTGACGAAATTCTCCAGGATTTGTTTCGCCTCTTTCTCTGCATCGCCCCGGCGGCGGCAATGTGCGCTTGGGGCGATGCGTTTCTTCCTCACCGTCATGATCTCTGCCTCCTCCTCTCACCGCCCTCGCCTTCTTCGACGCTGCCGTCTTAGCCGCTTCGCCACCGCCTTCGTCGCCACTGCTGCTCTCCTTCTCGCCTCCGCCGCCTGGCTCTCCCTCGTCTTCTCCTCCACCAGTTCCCGTTGCTGGCGTCGCCTTAGGGATTGGGAAGATACCCATCTCTGGAATCGACGCTTCCATCATCCTTCTCCGTTTATCTCCTCCGAGAAACCTCCTCCTCGTCCGCCTCCTCCGCCGTCTCTTCCCTCTCACTCCTTACTGGATCATGACGAGGGTCTCCACCCTCGGAATCGTTCTCTCTGGGAGACAGGGGGACGGGATCTGTCTCTTCGACACATCGTGTTCGGTATTGCGGGATCGTCCCAGCTCTGGGGACGTCGCAAGGAGTTAGTGAGGCTGTGGTGGCGACCTACGCGGATGCGTGGTCACGTTTGGCTTGAAGAGCAGGTTCCTCCTGGGGAAAGCGACGATTCTCTTCCAGCAATCATCATCTCCGAGGACTCTTCTCGCTTCCGTTACACCAATCCCACCGGTCATCCTTCTGGGCTTCGAATCTCCCGCATTGCCATGGAGTCTTTCCGCCTAAATCTTCCGGATGTCCAATGGTTTGTCCTCGGAGACGACGACACCATCTTCAACACTGACAATCTCGTCGCTGTACTCAGCAAGTACGATCCCTCGGAGATGGTCTATGTCGGAAGCCCGTCGGAATCTCACTCGGCTAACTCTTACTTCAGTCACAATATGGCCTTTGGTGGTGGGGGCATTGCCATTAGCTATCCCTTGGCTGATGCCCTCTCTCGTATTCACGACGATTGTATCGAGAGGTATCCCAAACTCTACGGCAGCGATGATCGTCTCCACGCCTGCATCACTGAACTCGGAGTCCCTTTGTCCAAAGAACCCGGCTTTCACCAGGTACTTGTTCCTGTCTCATCCTCTTTACCTCTATGTTCCATCGAATTGTCAAAGTATCGGTCTTTGATTCCGGATTTGGCAGTGGGATATTAAGGGCAATGCTCACGGTCTCTTGTCCACTCATCCTGTGGCGCCATTCATCTCCATTCATCATGTCGAAGCTGTTAATCCACTCTATCCCGGGTTATCAACTTTGGACAGTTTGAAACTTTTCACAAGAGCCATGGCTTTGGATCCAAAGAGTATTTTGCAGCGATCCATTTGCTATGATCATACTCGCCGCCTCACTTTTTCGGTCTCTCTCGGTTACGTTGTACAAGTTTTTCCAAATATACTCCTTCCCCGGGAGCTGGAGCGAGCTGAAGCTACCTTCTCTGCGTGGAACGGCATAAGCCATCCGAATGAGTTTGATCTTGACATGAGGATGCCTGTTTCGTCTATCTGTAAGAGGCCTCTCCTCTTCTTCCTAAAAGAGGTAGGACGAGAAGGGAATGCTACAACGGGAACCTATTCGAGAGTATCGATGAAGGACGATTTGAAGAGGAGACTTCTATGCTTTCCTCGTGCTCGTTCTCTGCCAAAGGTGGAGAAAATCCAGGTTCTGGGGTATCCTCTCAAGAAGAACTGGCATTTGGTACAGTTCTTATCCCTTTGATTTTCTTTGTGTTCTCTGTCTTTGGTTATGATGGTGTGCAACCGAGTCATGCGATTTCCTCTACTTCTTTGACAGGCACCCCGAAGGTTGTGTTGCAGACCAGTCCAAGCTACTAATGAATCTCTCAGTTTAGCAGTTGGACAGTGCGGAAAGAGAATTTTGGGCTCCATGACTAGTTATCTCTGACCAATGAACATATTGGATTGATACTGGATCTGGGCAGTGGGCACATTCGGTTCCTCTCCTGTGCTCGGTAAGATCCAGGACTTTGACTGTCGTCTGACCTAGAAGGCGCCGCCTCATTGTTTTTGCATTGTCACTCTTTTTTATTTAAATTTTTTCATTTTTGATACATTAGGAATACTAAGAACTTATTCCTTGCTGTGTTGATATATATGTTATATATCATGATTCAATCAAGCGTCACCATGCTAACCTTTCAGCTCGGGGAGCTGCCCTCTGTGTAGCAGCAGCAACTTTCTTCTTTGGTTTGTGATATAATGCTTGTTGTTTTGGCTGCATTGCCAACCTTCAAAGCATAACAAAAGGGCGTAGTATAATAGTTGTGTTGTATCTTAAAAATAAGATTGATTTGGATAGTTCTCCAGCAACTTGTGTAGATACCCTCGTGATGTCATGTGGTCCATATGTCTGCTGGACGGATCCTGTGGTCATTTGAGGACATGTCCTGTCCAAGTTGGATATATCTTCTTTTCTCGATCTATGAGTGAGTGTGTTGTTCATTAATTAGATTTGTGGTCGGGTTTCTGCCTGGTTAGGGTTAATGCAGGGAGATAAGATGGTTACAACTTGAGAGACTATGGCCATGTTTTTTGCTTGGCTTTGTAGTTTTACATGGACCGAGATATGGATGATGATGATGATGATGATAAGAAGAAGAAGAAGAAGAAAAAAGGAGATTCCTTTTGTGTTCTGTGAAGTGAGGGGGGTACAACTGCAAGTGTACTTTTTTAGCTTTGACTTGATGGGGTTAGGGGTCCATTTGGTGTCAGATTGAAATCTCTGGAGAGGGAAGTGGTCTGGACGTTGTGTTTGATTGATTCACTGACAAACTACAAACAACAGCAACTCCTCCTCGTATAGGGGCTCTGTTTTTGTTCCTTCCATCTCTCTTGCCGGATTCGAGGTTTCTGTGAGATTTGTCAGCGTGTTTGTTTTGTTATCTTGGATTATGCGTTGGTTAATTAAGCTAATCTATGATTCCATTCAGTTTATAAATCTCGGGGCTTGGACCATGACTAAGTGAATGATGTTCGAACCCGGTACAAATCTATATATTGAGTCGGGTTAAAGAGCAATGAAGGAGGAGGAGGAGCGCATGTGGTGTGTGTGAAAGGGAAAGACGGTTAGGAGTTTCATAAATCCAGGAGGAACCCCGCGCACGTTCTTACCACCCCCTCTTTTTTTTCATATTATAAAATAATAATAATAATAATAATAATAATAATAAAAAAAAATTAATAAATCACTTTTCCGCCTCTCTCTCTCTCTCTCTTTTCCACTTGAAGAAACAAAGCCTGTCTTCACCGCCAATTCATCATTCTTACCCTTTCTAATTTATTATTCCTCCGCGTTATTTATTAGAGTCTTATGTGTTGGTTGCTGTTTTTGTTTATTTGTCAATCTCCATCCCTCCCCCATGCATATAAACCCCCATTACCCACGGTTTTTATTTTACTTTATATATATATATATATCTTAAACAACTCCGTCATAACATATTCTATAAAAAAAATATCTAGGAGAATCGTCTCCATTAGTAGCGGTAATGAATTATAAATATGGATCCCGAACATAATAATATATAAAATAATATTAATTTAGTGATCGAGTTTCAATCCACGGATAAATAGTAATTAAGATTTTACGATGATTCATGCATAAGAGCAGGAGAATCAATTTCACAAATTACAAGAATTGTTATATATATATATATATATACACACGCGATGATCATTATTAACCAACCACTTTTAAGTAAAAATAAATAGCGATCTAGCTACTAGTGTTGCATTGGGGGTCCTAAACGTTTGGAAGTACTTACAACTTAAAACCAGAGTTCGATACATACACACATCATAAATGGAACTGGTCTCACCAATCACCATTTACTACTATTTTTGTTCTCATATTTTTTTTTATAAAAAAAACTATGTGGATGCTCATAGCACCATACTTTTAGTATGATAAAATAATAGTGATATTATTATTCATTTTCAAACAAAATTAAATGATATATAATGGTATTCGAATCAGTACAATCTAAAAATCGACTGTAATGTTATTGTTTCTATTCAAACAAAAATTGAATAATGCATACAATCGTATTCGAATAGAGTGGAATGCAAAATAAAAAAAAGAAAAGAAATCGAATTAAACCAAAGTAATTTTTTTTACTGAAAATCGAATTTTGATTTAATTAAATTGATATCTATATAAAAACAAATATAGTATATTACAAACTGAAATATCTAAACACAAAACTAATCTAAATCACGTAAATCATAATAATAATAATAATTATTATTAAATAAGCGGGTGATGAAAATGAGAGTTGGATTGGAGAGGAAGGGGCATGTCAAGGCTGGACCAGCTCAAATTTGGTAAAAAAAAAAAGGGGCCAATTTATTCCCTCCCCCAAAAAATCTGGTTGTCACATTAACCGCCAATCACAGAACGCCACGTGTGCAGTAGCGACATAATGGTGGGAGGGAAAACAACATGGGAGGCACATGATTTTGTTTTAAACCATAAAAAAAAGTAAATCAGTTTACAGATCCAATTTTAATTTAAAGTGTTTCACTTTAGAAATAAATAAATTTCACGTCGTAATAATATTTTTCAAATTATATAATAAAAGAGAGTATAAGTTAATACAAAAGGAATGGTGGCCAAAAGTGGGTTTAACAATTATTTGCTGCAAAGTTAGAGCCCTCTGACACCCCTCTTCCTCTCTCTCTCTCTCTCTCTCTCTCTCTCTCTCTCTCTCTCTCTCTCTCTCTCCTCCTTCTATCTATCATCATCCTCGTAATCCTCATCTTCGCTCTCTCTCTCTGTCCAAATTGTGACGACCCAGTTGCAATAAAAACGCTGCGGGAGCTGATCCTGATCCCCTTCCACCGTATACCCACATCTTCTTTCCCCTTCTCTCTCTCTCTCTCTCTCTCTCTCTCTCTTGCTGCTTCATGTTCATCAGCGAGTTAAGAGGAGAGAGAGGCAGTACAGAGGCGAAGAACAATATATACAATTGGAGTTGATCTCTCTTCCTCTACAGCTCAAGAGGTCTATCTGTGGTTCCAGTTTTTGCAGTGCATCTCCGGCGATGAGTTTTGGGAGTAACAGAGAGCGGAAACAAGGGCCTGATTCTTTGTAGAAAGTGGGTTTAGTTGAGACTCTGGATCGGGATGGAGCAAGGAGGAGGAGGCGGAGGGGGAGAAGTGGTGGAGGAGGCATCGCCGATCAGCTCAAGACCTCCGGCGAACTTCGAGGAGCTCATGAGATTCTCAGCCGCCGCAGAAGACGGCGGAGGAGGAGTCTCCGGCGGAGGAAGCTCGTCTTCCGGCAACAGATGGCCAAGGGAGGAGACTCTCGCCCTCCTCAGGATTCGGTCCGACATGGACTCCATCTTCCGTGACGCCACTCTCAAAGCTCCTCTCTGGGAAGACGTTTCCAGGTCTCTCTCTCTCTTCTCTTCTTCTTCTTCTTCTCAATTGTTTGATTAAAAAAATGGCTCAGATCCCTTGCATGTGTTTTTTTTTGTTTCTTTTCTTTTTTTCCTCGTTTGATTGCCGTGGAAGACTAATTTATTCAATTATTTTTATATTTTTATATTCGGAACCATCATCATCATCATCCCCCATATGAAATATTGTTTATACACAAAAAAAAAAAAGCTGCGGTTTCATGAAATTCAGTGGGTCGTTTTCGATTTTGAAAATCCCAAGAAAAGGAACACACTTTACATCCCCCATTAATTTATTCATTCCTTTTTTAACTGTTTTAGTCGAAGCAATGGCAATCTGGGTTTTTTTTTTTTTAATTGAAAAAGAAGAGTTCTTTCGGTGATGGCGGTGGTGTTTGTCGCAGGAAGCTGTCGGAGTTTGGGTACAAGCGCAGTGCCAAGAAATGCAAAGAGAAATTCGAAAACGTTCAGAAATATTACAAACGCACCAAAGAATCCCGCGGCGGCCGCCAACACGGCAAGGCCTACAAGTTCTTCAGCCAGCTCGAGGCTCTCAACACAACCGCCGGTACCTCGAACGCAGCCGCGGCCGCAACCGCGACCAAAGTCTCCACCCTAGACGTCGCGCCTCTCTCAGTCGCAAATCCCATCCTAACGCCGTTTTCCACATCCGCCGCCGGAGTTCCCTCTTCGTCTCCGTTTTCCGTCTTCCCTCCTCCTCCGCCGGCTTCTTTCGCCTCCATTCCGATCACACCCACGCCACCTCCGGCGTCGGCCAACATCACTGCGGCCGGAGTTTCCTTCTCGTCTCACAGCTCATCCACGGCCTCAGGGATGGGGTCGGACGATGACGATGACGATGACGATGAAATGGACGTAGACGTGGCTAACGTGGCGGGTCCAAGCAGCCGGAAACGCAAACGCGGTCACCGTCAAGGTGGAAAGATGATGGAGTTTTTCGAGGGTTTGGTGAAGCAGGTGTTGCAGAAGCAAGCCGCCATGCAACGGAGCTTCCTCGACGCTCTTGAGAAGACAGAACAAGAACGAACCGGTCGAGAAGAAGCCTGGAGACGCCAAGAGATGGCTCGATTGGCGCGAGAGCACGAACTCATGGCTCAAGACCGAGCCGCGTCCGCGTCTCGGGACGCAGCCATCCTGTCTCTGATTCAGAAGATCACAGGCCAAAGTATACAGCTCCCACCACCATCCGCAACGCCACCACAACCACCGCCGCCACCGCCACCGCCACCGGCTCCTCCATTGCAGAAAATACAACACACCCATCATCATCGTCAGCGTTCTCATAAAGCTGCAGAAACATCAAATATTCAATCTCAGTCACAACCAATAATGGCAATTCCTCAGCAGCAGATTCCTCCTCGGCCGCCTCCACAGCAGCAGCAGCCGGAGAAACAACACGATCAAATGGTTGGTGGAAGTGGTAGCTCAGAACCAGCCTCGTCTAGGTGGCCAAAGGCGGAGGTTTTGGCGCTCATAAACCTCAGGAGCGGCTTGGAACCGCAGTACCAAGAAGCCGGCCCCAAGGGTCCACTCTGGGAAGAGATTTCAGCTGCAATGCAGAGAATGGGATACTGCAGAAGCGCGAAGAGATGCAAGGAGAAATGGGAAAACATAAACAAGTACTACAAGAAAGTGAAAGAGGGCAACAAGAAACGCCCTGAAGATGCCAAGACTTGCCCTTACTTCCACCACCTCGATACGCTTTACCGGAACAAAGTACTGGGTGGTTCCAGTACCTCAGGCCTGCAACTCCATAGACCCGATCAAGATCAGATCTTGACGCCAAAGGAGAGCGCAGAAGCGAGTCCAGAAGGGGTTAACGTGCAACCTCTGGGGTCAGCGTCAAGTTCAGGGGACAGAAATCAAGAACACATGGAGAAGCGTCCAGAAGAGGGAGCTTTCAGGGAAGGAGGAGAGACTGAAAAGGTAAAACTTTTTCTCCCATCTTTCAATTAAACGGTTTTCAGACATGTCGTTGTCACGGTTGCAAGTTGCTGAAAATGGATTGATAAGTCAAGATGTGATGACTGAATCTCATTTAACATTGAAGCCAGAAGACCTTGTGAGGGAGCTGATACAGCAAGAACATGCAAACCCTAAACAAGGGCATCAACAGAAACTAATGATAGGCGAGTATGATAAGATTGAGGAGGCTCGCAGTTATGATTTGGAGGAAGAAGAGGACGAAGATGAACTGGATGAGGAAGAGAAGACGGCCTACGAGATTGCGTTTCAGAGTACCGGAAACAGAGGAAGCAACGGCCATGCAGAGCCGCCATTCTTGACAATGGTTCAGTAACAGACCGATCCAAAGCCAACAATGCCGGATCCTCTGTCTGAATGTACCATATGTACCTATGTGTGCATAGCCCCCCAAACACTACACACATACATACACTCATTACATTACCAAACTGAACCCAAAGGTTTTTTCTTACTTCACCCACTCAGATGAGGATGAAGGCGGGGATTGATTATCACATCCCACTCTTGAGTAAACCTCTGATGGAGAGGTGGGGATGGTGTTGTTTTGCCACGCACCGAGAACGTAAAACAATATGCAGAGTCCGCTGACACCGAGAATCCACGTGAGTCTCTTCTTCCTGGAAGCCGTTTCTCCCCATACAACATCCATCCTCTTAGCCTGAAAAGAGATAGCCTCCCCAAAAAAAAAAACTGTTTCTTGCTGTTTCTATTCGTTGTTCTTCTTCACTCTTCAGCACCAGTAAAACCATCTCTCTCTCTCTCCTTGTTCACATCAAATGTCTTCTTTTTATTGGTTCAGAATTCATCTTTCAAAATTTGTTTATTGGTCGGGGAATAAAGAGTTCTTTTTTGAGGTAAAAACAGGTGGGAATAAGAATCATCTATCTATCAGTGAAACCCAGAAGAAGAAGAAATAGAAGAAGAAAGGGAAAGGAATTCAAAGACCAGAAGATCCGAGAAGAAGAAGAAGAATTACACAACAAAACAGCAGAACAAGTTGACTGCTGTTCTTGTACTTCTTTGTTTTTGTTTTTTCTGCTTCTGCTTTGAACTGATAGATGAAAGACTCTGAGAAACTGTACTCCAAAACCCAAATTTCAGTCTTTTTGGACTGATCAGATACTCTGTTTCCTTACAGAAGTCTGAGAGAAGAGAATCTCTCTCTCTCTCTCTCTCTCATCCTTTTGCGGCGCTCAAAGTCTCAAAATTAGTTATTTCCTTCAACTTTCTATCGTTCATTGGATTTAGTTCTTTTATCAAAAGCATCTGCTCTGTACTTTGTACGAAAAGACTCTTCCCGCCCTGTTCGATCGAGTCTCAAGATGCTGATTCGTTTTAAGGAAAGAAAAAAGAATCTCTGTTCATGTAGAACTCAAAACAGGGTAGGTCCGTGTTACAGTTCTTGTTCACGTTCAAACCAATTTACCATTTGAGATTTACCAAGTGTGTGGGAAAATGAATACCCTTTTCACAACATTGAAGGAGAGAAGAATCTGAGGAAAATGGAGGATGGACACACGCACACGCACACGCACACAGAAAGAGTTGTCGGGTCGTAAATAATAATGAAGGAAAGGATGCAATAATAATGGACAGGTAACGAGAGTTTATGCTTTGGTTTAAGCTCTCCACTTTGAATGCCCTTTTACTGCCAACTGGCAAACACGAGATCGTGTCTCTTCAGCTGAGGAACGTGCTAACCCTCTTCCCAATTCCAACCATCTTCTCCATATGTATATATATATATATATGTATGTGTATGTATATATTTGTATAAATGTATAATTATATGGGACGAGTGTGTCCTACCCATGTGGCCATGTTGGGTTATTCTTTGAATTTAATTTGCAGAAACCGTAACCGGAAGAACCTTGGCCAATTTCATATTCCTTTCCCACAACCACATGCACTTCTTGTTGTCGCCTTCTTCCTCTCATGTGTTTCCCTCTTCCATCCCCTTTTTGTGCTTTCTTTTCTATATATAACAAATCTTCACATTACCCACACGGCCTTTGTTCGTTGGAGGTGTTCTTTTTAATCCTATTATTCATGTTACTTTCAACTGATACGACATATATATATATATATGTATATGTATGTGCATGTAGAGGTGAGAATCCAAATTGGTGTGTCTATGGAAAAATTATTACAACAGCGGCACCTGAGGTTCTCTGATTCTGAAACCCACAAATGTAACAGTTGAAATGTGTACTCAACAGTCGCCATCAATATTCATCAACTGCCACTTCCATTTACCATTTAAAAAAAAAAGAACTGTGAACTATTTTGGACAAAAAAAAAACGCGGAAGGGAAAGGATCCAAGAACGAGTATGAAGGAAGCTGAGTGTAATGAGAAGACTAATCTTCCTATGAGTTACGAAGTTGTCTGAACAAACTCTGGTTTGCTTTTACCTTTCCTCATCTTTGCCTTGAACCTTGACTTAGCCATCAGCGTCTCTACGGTGTTTACGAAGTTTCCAACTGCCATCACAACTAGAAGAATTCCACAGAACATCACCTGCCATGACAGTCCAAGGCAGATCAGCCCCATATTCCCTTTACAAAATATGTTAGCTGCTCTCAGAGACAGGACACAACACAGTACTAGCTACAAAAACCGAAAAATGGTGGCTGATGCATTCGATTCCTACTAACATAACCTCCATTACCATCAGAATCACAGTTTTCAGGCCATAATAACTGCTGAGAGAGTTCCAAAGGAGCGTGGAAAAAGTTGCAGAAAGAGGGAGATTATATATGGGTAACGGTACCTGCCATTCAGCAACTACCCCGGATAATGCTGCCCTGAACAACAGCATTCCCACATATGCCTCGAACCCCTGAGTTTTCCCAAAAGTACAAACAAGTTAGCCTAACAAAGCAGCATAATGTGTGAGCAAAATTTCGGTTTTCGTTCAGTGGGTGTGTGCAAAGATCTTCCGGATTTTAGACCATTCTTTAAGGTCTCAGTTGTATCTCTTGAATCTGGATTAGCTTACTAAATGTCTTGAAACCATTATTTCCTTTGAATGAAATGGCATCTAATTTCCAAAGCCATGCAAAGTTCACAACGGTATTAGAGACTATTGACTAAACATCACCAGCTAATCACACGAGGCAAAGTAGGGAAGATGAGAAAACCGAAAATGTTTAAAACATATACATCCAATAAAACCAATTCAGAGCTGTGGAGAAAGCTCACCTGCAAAATGAACAAGATAGGGCATAATATCAACAATTGTCCATCAACTCCAGCCGTTTCTCCCCATACAACATCCATCCTCTTAGCCTGAAAAGAGATAGCATAGCATATTTACAGCCATTCCATAGAACTTGGACCGAAAAAAAGGTGTGAATGGTATGTCACCTTTCCTAGTGCAATGCGAGTGTACAATCTTTGGCGTTGGTATCTGTTCTGCAGAAGCATTGCCACACCTTGCATCATGGCCCATTGCAGGAAAAGATGGACTCCTCTCTGTACAGGAACTATTGTGATTCATAGCATATACTTGGTAACTCATGATCTACATAACGGAACAATCTATACCTGCTTCTGGGCACAGTTTGGTTGTCCTTTGATTTCCCATGTGAGGCTGACAATGGTCATAATCATGGAAAAATAATGATGATAAATCCACCTGCAAAAGCAGACCAGTCCCAGAGGTTATAGTCGTCTCCGCCATGGGAGAATATTACCATTAAATCACAATCACTACACTGTACAACATCTCACGGGGTTGGAGTTACCAATCCAGATAAGATCATTCTGTCTGTATCATTCAAAATTACTTTCCATTCTAATCCTCGACCAAACCAAACGAGGAATCCATGAGCCACTAAAGTTCCTCGTTAGGAAAGAAGGAGCATCACAAAATCTATATAGATCTAATTACTACTCGACAACATAAATGAGAAACCAAAGCCCAAACATCTTCTGTAATTATATACTTTAAATCCAAAATAAACACATGTCAGTTCTGCACAATAAAACAGCAGAGCTCACTCACAGATGAAGAGAAACTACAAAATATGAAAACGACCTTGATAAACAGAGGAAGGATCGGTTAATAGTACCATGGACGGATATCACTCCCATTGGCGCTCAGTATGTTCTCTCGCATAGCCAAACCAGAATAGAGGAACAGCAACCAGACCTGGCAAAAGGGATTCACACGTCGATACAGGAACCCTGACCACATACAACAAGACGCCAAACCGCCAAACACAGATATACCTCGTACAACTGAACAGGGAATGCAGGCAAGCATCCCTCCCACAACCATGATCTAAGGATCAAAAGGGTAGCGGGGAAAACAAGGAAAAGAAGAGCAGTTCTGTCCTGTTCCATGGAAAACAAGCAGTCCTCGTTAGACTGGACAGTGAAGAGGATGAGTATACTAAGATAAATTGACAGCATAGTTATTGTGATGAATCAACATGAAACGCGCATGCATGGGATTTGATGCGATCACATACAAAGCAAACTGGAGAGAGAAGCAATACTAACTCTGTAGCTATTATATTCTTCTTTGACTTTGAGTTGGATGTCTTTACGCAAGGCTCGGACATTCACTGGACCCAAAAACATCCTCAGGAACCGCCCTGTTTCGATCATCAACCCAATTTTCAGACTTGGAACAGCAATGCCATTGAATCACACATGAATCAGAATCAAATCAAAGTGAAGTAGAAACTAGACACTAAAACTGACTCGGCAGAGAGAGAAACCTTGAGGTTTGGCGGGAAAAAAAGCGGAGGCGTCTCCGTTGGCGAGCATGCATCTCGCCCGCTGCAAATCCCCCTCGAGCTGCATGAAGAGAAAAACGATTAACGACTGGGGAAACGAAACAGGAAAGGAAACGAGAGAGGGGGGTGAGAAGGAGGATGCCTTGTCGGCGAGAGAAGGATCCAGACTCTTGTCGGAGAGAAGGGAGAGGGTGGTGGAATGGAGGCGGCGGATGGAGCCATCGAGAGCAGAGAATCTCTGCCGGAGAGACTGCTCCTCATGGGAAGAGGAAGAGATGAAAGAGGAGGCGAAATCGTGAAGCTCCTTAACCTGCTCTACGACCCGTCTGACTTCTTCTTCGATCTCCATTGTAGATGCCGGAGAGATCGGATTTCTGGGTCTAGAAGGGAAAATCGAAAATCGACAAACCCAAGAAAGCCAGAAACCCAAAAGGATGCAAGAGAAGAAGAGATGATTCGAAAGGAATCAGGGTTGTCTCCTCGAGAGCACAAAAAGATAGGCCCCTTCTCCCTTACCGTTGCGAACCTTGCCGTTGCGAACCTTGCGATCTGAGACAGAACCCCTCAGCGATTTGCGAAAAAAGCATCAATGACACACTCTCTCCCTTGCTTGCAGACTCATGCCTCGACACATGTTCTTACAAACGCGCGGCACCGCATCCCTCCCCTCCTTTCCTTGATACGCTTTACCGGA